CTCTTCTGTTTAGGAAATTATTTTCAATTCTTGGTCTCACTTGAAAGTCGTAATGTGCCCTTGAAGTAGGTAGGTTAAGATTGTCACTTAAACGTCAAAGGACACTGGGGAAGTTGAGGGCTTGGCTGAAGGTCCCATGCGCAGGTGAGGGCAGAGGTAGGCAGGTCATCTAGGTCTCCTGACACCCCTCCTCTTCCCACCGCCGCCCCCTCTAGAGCCTGACCTACCAGACACACGGCCTCTCGTTCACTCCCTAGAGGAGAGCGGCTCCTGAAGAGCCTTTTGGGGGATTGACCCTGATGTACAAACACCTCCAAGGCCAGACCTGACTCTCCTACTGCGGTGAAACCACATTGTGTAGGACTGCAGAACCTGAGAACGTTTCGTTCTTTGAGCCGAAGTGGAGCTTAATTATGTGCCCCTATTAAGAAACTGTTTGCCTGGTGTCCACAGGTAGACAGAGGAAGTCTTTTTACTTCTTAAGAGGAAATACTGTTTTCAGGTGCTCACTCATGGGTACCAGAGAGATAACCGAGGCAGTAATCGTAAGTCATTCTGGTCTGGTCATTAAAGCAGTACTCTCAAGGCTCTCCACAGGGCAATTCTTGTTGACTTGTATTTGTAATCAACAGATGCTATAATTCCAGCTCATTACTAATTCTTTGCTTACCCAGTTTTACCCAATTAATCCAGATTAGTGTGGCTTAATTTGGGGGAAAGCTTGCTAAATTGGGGTCCAAGTAGCAACTCTGCCCCCAGGCTCACTGCTAGTTGCTCTGGGCCAAGGTGTCTCCTCAGTAGAGTAAGTCAAGTGCTGGACAGCTCCTGAGGCCCCTCCCTTCTCTAGACCTTTGACCAAGGCTGAGGGGCAGGAATGATCTGGGAAGGGTAGCTGGCTGGGGAAGGGGTTGCAGAATCTGCTGACTTTTTTTTCTTTTTTTTTAACAAACAGGAATTATCAGTCGAGAAGATGCCGAAGATCTCCTTGAGAATATGACTGAGGGTGCATTCCTGGTCCGGGTCAGTGAGAAAATCTGGGGTTACACCCTCTCCTACCGCCTGCAGAAAGGGTTCAAGCATTTTCTTGTGGATGCCTCTGGGGATTTTTACAGCTTCTTGGGAGTGGACCCCAATCGCCATGCAACGCTCACGGATCTCATTGATTTCCACAAGGTATCCCTCTTAGGGGTGCTGATGGGGGTGGGCAGGGAGAGGCAGGCTGTGGGCATTCTAAGAGATGGGGATGGAGAGTGAGCAAGCAGCCCCAGAAGGTCCTTAGGGTCACAGGGATCTAGACCATGCTGGTAGAAGAGACAAGAGGTTGTCTAGACCAGGCTCTGGGGCCACTGCTCTTCTCTGGCTGACCCTCTACTCATGCGGGCACCTCAAACGCCCGTCTCCAAGCCGCTTCTCACCTTGAGTACCTGAGTGCTGCCTACTGTCAACACTTAGGGGCTGGCTGACCTGCCTTCTGTCCCAGCCCATGTCTCACCCCCAGCTTTTTCCAGGGTGTCCCTCTTGAGGACATTCTAGGCAGGCCTTCAACAGCTACGTCAAGTTAGCTGGGCAGGCAACCCTGTGGTTAGAGCAGCTTTTCAGTTACAATGCCTCTTGTTCCAACTATAGCTTTGCCACTTAGTGTGTGTGTGACCTCAGGCAGCTTCCTTAGTCTCACTGAGCCTTAGTTTGCTAACCAGGCAAATGGATGCAAATAATACTTAACTCAGATCCTGTGAGTGTTAAATGGGGGGATGTACATAATGGCGCCCTGTAACTGTGGAGTGGTCTGCATGCTCTTGTTTCCCACAACTCTTTTTCTTACTTGTTCGCCTGTCGTGGACCTCACATTGTGAAAGATGTTTCCTTCCAAAAGATGTATATAAAAAGAAACAACTTTTGTGTTAACGTGGCTGTTGGCATTAGTAGTAACTGGGAGAAAGCCAGAGGTGAAGCTCAGTGACCCGGAAGGATTCCGGGAGACAGAGCTGTGGCAGCTCAGGGGTCCCCCATCTCCCTGAGCTTTGCAGGCATAGAAATGTTCACAGCATTACTTGACCGCCTCACTGGGCTTTTGCTGTAACAGAGACTCTTGGATTTGTATTACTTTTTCTTCATGGATGTCCCCAGGGCTCTAGGGCAGCTCTTAACTTGAACTTATAAAGTAAAGCACATAGGAAACCACCCAATTACAAATACCTAGATGCTGGGAAGAGAGGAGTGCTCAGAAAACTAGGCTAACCAGGATCAAAGCAGATTTCTACTTGCATCAGGAAGAGCCTTCTAACAACTATAGGAAAGAGGAAGGAGGGGTGTGTGGATATTGGTACCTTCTCTGTGTCGATCGCTGTGCCTGTTGCTCTCATCCATGTTCTCATTTAATCTTCACCATGGCTCTGGAAGGGAGGCATATTAGTCCCATTTCATAGATCAGGAAACTAAGGTCAGGGAGTTTGAGTAACTTGTCTAAGTTTTCATGGCTGGTACCAGCTAGATCCACGAGATAAGCCCCAGGCTGTCTGCGTCTAAAGCTTATGCTTGTTCCTCTAAGCCACGTTGTGTGCTCTCTCTGTCTAATACAAGCTGCTTGGAGCAGTGATGATCTCCTTGTCCCTGGAAGGGTGAATGTCCATCTCTCAGAGATGCTATGGACAGGTTGCTGCATAGGAAGGCTAGACCAGATGTCTTTGGAGGTCTTTACTCTCTCCCAAATGTAGGGTCTGAGGCTGGCAACTGAGTTTCTAACGCTGAAGAGAGATCTTGTCTATGCCCCTGTGTAGATCTGGTGGTCAGCTTTTATAAATTAACATTTTAATTACACAATTAATTTATGATTACATTCTAAGAAAAATCAAATACAGTACAAAGCGAAAGTCTTGTTCATTTCAAGCCCCCATTTTTATCCTCCATCTTGAATTACCAGTCTGCTCTATCCCTATCCAGGTATTTCTTGGGCATTAATGCAGAAATTTATGTACATGAATTTTTTTGTTATGCATATAACAAAATGTATGTCCATAGTTTTGTTATTTTTCACACAAATTGGATAATCCTTTACCAAGAGCTTAACAATTGGATTTTAAAAAACTTGCTTAATATTTCATAGAATGTATTTTTGTTTTGTTTTGTTTTGTTTTGCGGTACGCGGGCCTCCCACTGTTGTGGCTTTTCCCATTGCGGAGCACAGGCTCTGGACGCGCAGGCTCAGCGGCCATGGCTCACGGGCCCAGCCGCTCCGCGGCATGTGGGATCCTCCCGGACCGGGGCACGAACCTGTGTCCCCTGCATTGGCAGGCAGACTCTCAACCACTGCACCACCAGGGAAGCCCCCATAGAATGTATTTTTTTGAAAGCATGGTCCCTGAAATCGGGCTGCCAAGTTTTAAATCCCAACTTCATTACTGTGTGTGACTTTGGGCAACTATTCAAACTTGGGACTTTAGTTTCCTCCTCAGTAAGGTAGGTTTAAGAATAGTACTCACCTCTCAGGGTCACTGGGAGGTTTCAATAAGATATCACTGTGTAAAGCACTACAACAATATACCTGACATTTGTAAGCTATCAGGACGTGCTGGCTGTGATTGAAATACATCTGTGGGATCTTTTCATGTCCATGCATGCACCGCATCCTTGGTATGGATGTATCTTACAGTTTCGTTCTCCGTCCTCCTCTTGCTTGTCACTTATGTAGCTTCCAGGTTTTCGTGATCACAAACAGTGCTGCAGAGACTTGCTTGCATGTGTCACTTTGGGCACATGTGCAAGTCTTTCTCTAGGATGGATCCCTTCAACTGGAATTGCTGGATAGAAGACTAAGCACATTTTATTTTGAAAAGATCTGCCAGATTGCCCTCCAGAAATGTAGCACCAATTCATGCTTCTTCCCAAACTATATGAGGCTGTTTCCCCACACTGCTGCCAATACTGGGGATTATCAGTCGTTTTAATTTTTTCCCATAAGATGGGCAGTGTATCTCACTGTTGTTCAGCTTGTATTCCTCTGATTACCACTGATGCTGAGGATTTTTTCATATGTTTAATGGCCACTTGGATTTCTTCTGTGAATTGTGTTAATGTCTTTTGTCCATTTTTCTACTTAGATGTCTCTTTCTTATTGATGTGTCAATTCTTCTGGCGACTAAATTGCTCTTTAGTTACGTCCATTCTGCTCTCCAGGTCTTCTACTGAAAAAAGCTTTTTAATTTAAATGGGCATCCCTTTCATTTCCAGGTTTTTTAACTGGTTCTTTTATTTTATAATAGTCCATTCTTGTTTCATGGATGATTTATCTTCTTATTCCAGTGAGGAGATTAATACGCGTCTCTTAAAGACTCTTTCTGTTTGTTTTATAAACCTGATATTTTCTTGGGAGTCATCTCGATTGTTGAGTTTGGCATCTTTCTTTTATGGTTATGATCTTCCTTAAATATTTATAAATTTGGGGCTTTGAGGGGATCTTTGAACTTTGAAATTCCTGTTTATTCATCCGTGGATATAGTCCCTGTTTCCCAAATCCAGTTTGTTCATGAAGCGAGGGATGGAATTGACGGTGAGTAGTTCATCTTTGGGCGTGGAAATGTCTGAACTACTTGGATCTCTTTGGTTTCCCAAGGAACTGCGCGCCTCTCCTCACTTCCTGACCTGCCTGAGGCAGAGCCCTCTGCCACCCGGAGTTCCCCAGCCTGTCCCACTGACACTTGTTCTTGCCCCTGCCCCACATTCACTCCTCTGACAATCTCATCCTGTATTGCCTTTGGTTTTCAAGTATTCTCCAACATTTTTGTTCTGTTCGTGGTCCTCCTTCTTATTTTCCCATGCTTTTATGGATTTATTTCTTTTTAAAAGCAAAATTTCCCCTGCCATTTCTATAAATTTGAATGCAGAGGAGGCAGATACATATTCTTAGTCTTTCTATCTCGAACTGGTCTCTCTCTGGTGGACTTTTATTTCCTTTTTTTGATTATAAGTGAATTTTCTGTTTTTTGTTTTTTTTTTCCTTTTAGGAGGAAATTATCACTGTTTCAGGGGGAGAGTTGCTGCAGGAACCCTGTGGACAGAGGGACAGCCCACCAGACTACCATCTGTTGTTTGAATGATATTTTTCCCCCTTCTCAATTGGACTCCGTGAGGCATCCTATTTTTGAACTCAAGAACTTCCCAGCTCAAATTCTTATGGCCTTCTGGAAGATCCACCACCATCCAGAGGGACAAGTAGATTAGTATATTTCAAGGAATATGAAATATATGGTGTACGTGCTGCTGGTTCCTGACCCAGTGCCCAGGACAGAAATTGCTAATAGCTGGTGCAACTCTTTCCTGAAAAATTTAGATACAACCTCAGAAGATGAAGCCTTTTTTGTCATGGCTGCCCTAAACTGAATTCCTAGAATAGAAGGATCATGTTTTAGTTATACAAATAATTCCAGTGCCGAACTCTGAGTTTAACATATGGTAGACATTCAATAAATGTTTGTTGAATGACTGCATGTCTTCTGAAAGTTTTCCAACACTCATCAGCAACGATTTCTAGTAAGTTATTTTCTATTTGTCACTGTTTATAAAGTCATGGAGATTAGAGAAGAAATATTGTAAAGGATTTATATGGAAGGCACAGATACTGTATTTTAAATGATACTCATTGTCACTCTCATTGACATTATCAGTGGAATTACCTAAGGCTTCTGAGCCCCAGCTTCCAGACGAGATGACGGACACTGCCCTGCCTTCGTATTTCCCTCTTCTGCCATCCCTCCTCTGTCTTGGAATCATATCTTGGCCCTGGTTTTGCAATATTGAGGCAGTGGTTTCATGTATTCCTACAGATATGCCTAAGCCTCAGGGGGAATTATAAATTCACGAATGGCTTGTAGACATCTGATAAGGCCTTTGCTTTCTAGGATGTGGTCGTGTTTATGCAGGTTACTCAGATGATTACCTCTGCCTTCCTACTTCTTTTGATTTTGATTCTACTGTCCATTTATACTGAGTGTGTTCTTCATAGTAACAAGAAGACTCTCCCAGTAACTCAATAACTTTCAGCGATGGTGTCTATTTGTGCATACTCGTATTTTATATTTATGGATTATATATATATATATATAATATATATATTTGTATATGGCATGTTATCATGGGATTATTTTAGGCTCTAGAATCAAGAAGACTTGGGTTCAAATCTCACCCTGAAACTGACTAGTATAATAATGCTGGCAGCATTGTATTTGGTGGGAGTAAAAGGATGAATGGACTCTGTGGCCATCAAGGAACTGGTTACCTTACTTGATAGTTGTATCAAGCATCTCTTATGTTCTCCCCCACCCCTTGCCTCACCTGTTCCTCAGATCACCTTGGCCACTTGTTTCACTCCAGTTGTCACCGCTGAAACCAGATCTGCACGGCTCTCCCACCGTGTTGATCGGCCAATGGCGCCTGGCTTCGTGTGGTGCTATGGGCCTCTCTTCTGTTACTGCAGAGGCATTAAGACACCATGCAGCCAAGGAGAGCCTGGAGGTTAACTCCCCGTGAGCGGAACCTTTGATCAATGGGAGACAGAGGATGGTGAACAATTCCTCTCCCTTCCTCTTCCCTTCTGGAGGGACTGTTCTGAGGGGCAGTTCTTCACATGCAAGACGTATCAAGACAGTCCTGCAAGACTGAGCAACTAGTCACGATGAAACCAAGCAGTGGCCAGATCAGTACCAGCCCCTTCTGTGTGTTCTTCCTCCTTCTCTGCTTCACTCCCCTTTCTTTCCCTCTTCTCTCTCTCTCTCTCTCTCTCTCTCTCTCTCTCTCTCTCTCTCTCTCTCGCTCTCTCTCTCGCTCTCGCTCTCGCTCTCCCCTGCTCCCCTGGGACTATGCTCCTGAGTGAGGCAGCAGCACATGAGCATCTGCTGCAGGCTCAGCCTTTTGGGGAAGCCACAGGGTAAGGACCCATCATACAAAGGTGCTCAATACTATCAAATCTGCATGCTGACTCCATGTCCTCTCTCCTATCTACCTGCCTCACAGGGCCCCTGGATGAATGCAATAAAGTGATGGAGGGAACCTGCTTTCTGAACTGTAAAGTGCTTTAAAACCTGATTATTATTATTAAAATTACCTTCTTTCCATTAGACTCAGAGGAATCAAATTAGAGCTTTGACTGCTACTTACCAACCACGTGACTTTGTTCATGTTATTTAACCTCACTGAAGTTCAGTATAACTGAGGAGAGAATTTTCCGTATGGCCATCGCTAGGCCTTTTGGCAGGTCAGTTAAATGATAGATATGAAAGCTCTGTCAAATGGAGGGTATCGCTGAGGACAACCGCTTTAACAGCAACAGTTTCATGCTTAGCAGGGACGTGTCAGGGGGATGTGATGTGATGATTTTCAAGGTGTTAGAAGAAACTAACAAGAAGAAAGTTCTCACGCCAAAGCAGCTTTGAAAGTAGACCAAGATGGCTTGAGAACCTGATTCCCCAAGCTGTTGTTCCTGTCACCCCTAATTAACATGTGAGAGACAACAGCTGAGTTTTCCACGCCTAATACATTTATTTCCTTTTATTTGGGGCCTGCACTTTCTGCATGTCTCATAGATTTTAGGTTTTACCTGGCTTTAAAATAAATTCCTTGTAAGTTGTCCTGCAAATGAAATTACTGTCTGGAAAACTGCAATCTCATCTTGAGAGTTTTATTATGCTAATAAATGTCAGGATACTCAAATAAAGGAATTGTCTTTTTTTTTTTTTTTCCCCGAGCCCTACAAATATAATGAAAAACAGTCAGCCAGCTACAAGACTCAGCAGAGGGTGTAAAAAACACTGTGCAACTTAATGGAAGATAAATTTCAAGGGCTGAAAGGGTATCTTGGGGTATAGATTCGGGGAGGTCCCTGTGTGGTAGAGTTGGACCTGCACACTTGGGGAGTGGGGGGGATATCTAAGAAGCACGGGCTGAAAAGGGCTACTGAGAGGGGATCCTTAGAAGGGACACAGGGGCAGGGAGACCTGAGTGCCTGAGGAGTAGGCCCCCTCCTGTACCCTTAAATCCTTCATTATCCTCAGCATGAATTTGGAGGCAGAAAGACTCTTGTTTTGTGACACTAAGCAAGTGTCTCCAGTTCTCTGGGCCACAGTTTCTCCACAATGCCTGTCTCAGAGTGTGGCTGGGAAAATAACATGAGATTGAGATTAAACTACAAATACTGTTTCAGTTCTGTGTGTGTGTGCGGGCTCGTGTGTGTGATTCTCACAACTATCATGAGGGAGACAATGCTATCATCCCCATCTTGCCTGTGGGGAAAGTGAGGCAGGGAGAAGTCCAGAACTTTCCCAGGGCCACTTAATTCTCTGGGAAGTTGTATTACAGCACTGGGATTCATCAGGCTGGCTTTGGAGTCTGCAGAGAACTTACACCAGTGCTTTTCAAACCGAGGTGTGCAAACGAACACAGCTGACGTTCTTAAAACGTCCTTCAGCAGCTCTGGGGTGGGGCTTGAAGTTGTGCATTTCTAACAAGCTCCTGGGTGCTTGTGATGCTGCTTGACTGTCAGCCACAATCCGAGGAGCAAGCCTTGCAAATTAGAGCTGCAGGCCAAATTCGGCCTCTCTGCCTGTGTTTCCACAGCCTGAGAGCCAAGAGTGGTTTTTACATTTTCAGATGGTTGGAAAAAATTTAAAAGAATAATATTTTATGACCTGTGAAAATTACATTAAATTCAGATTTCAGCGTTCACCAATAAAGTTTTATTGGAATACAGCTTTGCTATTTGTTTACGTAGTCTTTGGCTGCATATGGCCTGCCAAGCCTAAAATATTTACTATCTGGCCCTTTACAGAAAAAGTTTGCCGACCCTGGCTTTAAATTATGGTGCATAGGTGAGGAATTCTTTTGCTTTCTTTCTCTGCTTTATCTAAATTCTACCCTTAGGAAAGATTTTGACACATCATTTATATGTCAGAGAAACCTAAGTAAATGTGTTGCATTTTAAATTTGAAACTCATCTCATCTCTAGTAATTAAAAAGGAGGCTGGTTTCTTTGTCGAAGAATTTTAACCAAATGTAAGCAAGTACTATCACGGTTATACAGATACTTTCCAAGGGCGCAGGATCTTTTGTTTTCTAGAATGTACCATAATTCCCTACACTAAACTGTGTATGTGTTTGTTTTGCCCTTCAGCCTGTGAGGTCCTGGAGGTCAGGTAATGCCATTTACCTATGTGTTTTATGGTGCCTGGAATAGTCAATGTTGTCGAATTGCATTTGTTATGGGTTGGGGACAAATGGGCTGTGTGAATTTCAAAGGGCTGCTTTCACCTTTAGGGGAGCCCTACGGTTGAAAAACCCAGGCTGAGCATCCTGACTACTTTGGGTTGGAATCCTGAATCCACTACTTTCACTTGTTAAGAGAAATAAACAAACAAAGGAGACTGATAAAGTCAAAAAAGCTCTGCTAACAGCTAGTCTGAAGTGGGGGAACTGAGAATTTAAACAAAAATCCCATCTTGGCAAAACTGTTCTGTAACTTGCAAAACAGATAAGCTGAACCAATTAAACAAAACTCCCCATTCTCCCCTCCCTCCAGCCCCTGGCAACCGCCATTCTACTTTCTGTCTGAATTAATGTGATGACTCTAGGTACCTCATGTAAGTGGAATCATATCGTATGTGCCTTTTTGTCCCTGGCTTATTCCACTTAGCAGAATTTCGTCAAGGTTCGTGCATGTTGTGGCATGTGTCAGAATTTTTTCCTGTTTAAGGCTGAATAATATTCCATTGTATGTATATACAACATTTTGTTTATCCATTCTTCTGTTGATGGACACCTGGGTTACTTCCACCTTTTGGCTGTTGTGAGTAACACTGCTATGAACATGGGTGCATATCTGCATGACTCATGTGTTCTGAAGAACTCCTGGGTGTTCCGGCAACTCCCTAGTTTACAGATTCTGACCAATCCCCGCCAAGGTCATTCTGTGATCAACTTCAGCTCCCCCATCTCAACAAGTGACCTTTCCTAGCTCCCACGATTATCTGGTATGTGCTCCCTCTTGCTGCAACCAGCTAATAAATCTAACTTTGGTTATATGTGTGTTCCAAGAGGGCTTTAGCT